AGCACACAACTCAACAACAACACTCTAACTGATTACATATTCTCAATAACAACTCAATATTCACAGAAAGGCACTCACAAGATCAAGTTCATCAATGATAAAGATGTGCAATGCAGTGGAATGCAATGTCAAGTATAGTGATGCATGTCTGACCTAACGATACACACCCGCTGTCTCTGAGTCCGGGACCCATGGGGGACATATCTGTCCATGCATTCGTCGCGGCGTGTGACACGTCCCTCGATAATAGTATCCATCGTGGCGCGCGATACGTCCCTTGATATATAGTATCCATCGCGGCGCGCGACATGTTCCCCGAAATGGTACATCCTCTTTAATTTTTTATTCTTTCTCAATTCACATAACACTTGTCACAATCATGTATCAAAATAATGCAAATGACATGTTCACAATAATGAGGAGATGACCATTTTCATAACATTGCACAATTCACAACAACACAATCATGATACAAAACCAACAATGAATCAATAAGCCTTTCAAAATCATTCTCAACACATCACACACCAACAATTAATCACATTACCTTTTATTACCCTTTTTTCATCGTTAGAATTATTCAACATGGACAAGTCAACCCATCACCAAGTCTCATTACTCCCCAACACATACCACAAGGAAATACACAAGGGTTTAGAAATCAACTTGCCTCAATTAATCAACAATTCACTCCGGGACTTGAGCCTTCCCTTTTCGTTGAGCTTCCAAACCAATGCAATCTATTCAAGTACATAATCACGATAAGATTTTGAAACTAACAACACTCATATTACTATAGGTTTAGCCTGGACCCAAAAACTCACCTGAATCAATAATCAAGTTCCTAAGTTTCAAGCCTAGGATTAATTCCTAATTTCTCCCAACAATACGATCCTTATAGTTTTCATATAATATAATACATTCAAAATTTAATTATATATACTAATATATAAGAACTTAAATCGTAGTCTAATGAACGTAAAAAGAAATAAGTTTAAAACTAAAATCGATACTACCTGTAACCTCTGAAAACGTAGCAACACTCAAATCTTTTACATTCATCTTTACCATTTTTTTTAATGATTACCTATGACTACCTTAAGTTCTTGACCAATCAAAATTTGTCCCTGAAGGTCCATAAAGTCACTCGTCCATCTAATATAATGCCAGCAACTACCTTTGCTTTCAAATCCAATATTATTATAATAACATTACTTTATATAAAGTGATTAATGTATGCCACCAAGGAATTGAAGATTGGTCTAAATGTTTACCTGAAATCTTTCGTCCCTTTTCGTTCGATGCCGCAGGCAAGGTTAGAGTCTTCCTCCGCTTTATTTTCTTTTTTAAATTGATTAGGTAGTAAAAGTGGTAAATTCTACTAATCTATTTTAATATATGTATGGGTCAAAAGGTATAGGGTCTTAAAAAAATATTTTAGACTCGGCCCATTGACCACCAACTAAATAAATAAATTATTTAATATATACCCATCAATTAAATAATCGTAGTTATCGAATAGTTTAAAATTTTCAAACCAACTTCACCGACTGATTATAAATGACTCGGAATCACAATCGGAAGGGATAAAACGATAGTTTTTATGATAATTTCCAAAAAAATAATTTTTCGAGTCATTACACGCTTACTCTTTAAATTTGTTTGGGAGAGTAGTTTGAGCGTTATCACATAGACAGTTCCTCCTTATGTAGTAAATTACATATGCATAAGCTATACATAAGATTTCCATCTTTCAACTGGAAAAAAAAACATTTATCTTCTACATCACTCTAATATAATAAAATCAGATAAGCACCCTGACAATACATACAATAGTAACCCTACTAATAATTTTTTCATGGACCTTCTAATCAAAATAACTTACTTGACAAACACTTGGTGTCAGAGGTTATTCATTTTCATACAAAGACACCTTAAATATATATCACGGATTAAAGAATTGAACTAGCTTTACATGAGTAGATGGACGTACATCCATCGATGATAACTTATGAGAGATGAAGTGCATTGTGGGCCTCGATTTTGGAGTTTCAAGCAAACAAGAGCATGCTAGCTTGATGATAAAAATCAAAACCTCTTTTACTCTATCTTCAGGATATGGAAGGCGTTCATCCAACAAATCACTAAGTTGCTCATGATCTATAGTCGATGAATTTACTAGCACGGTAATGTATTCCCCAAGATGCTTTCCTTTGATTATCTCCAAAGATAATACTCCAAAGCTATATACATCACACATTTGCGTAACCTTCATAGTATATGCAAGCTCTGAACAATACAATTTCCAAAACAATATAAACGTGTAAATGAGATATAAACAATGGAGTGTTTGGCTTTAGTTCATGAAATATTTTAAACTTAATTACCAGGTGCAACATAACCATATGTCCCTGCAAGCGTTGTGCAATTGGATGAGTCTGGATTGAGAAGCTTTGATATGCCAAAGTCTGCAACATGAGCTTCATACTCTGAATCAAGCAAAACATTACTGCTTGATATGTCTCGATGAACAATCCTGGTGCATGTAAGATAAAGCAAAAGCAACACCCTTGATGATATTCACCCTTTTAAACCAATCCAATTTCTTGGACTCAACTTCATCACTCAAAGTACTAGACAAACTCCCCCTCTCCGCATACTCGTAAACCAAGAGTGAATGTTGTGCTTTCGAACAATAGCCATAGAGGTTCACAATGTTTCGGTGCTTAATCCCAGTCAATGCCCTTACTTCATTCATGAAGCTTTTAGGATGTGTATTCTGATATGAAGAATGAAGTCTCTTCACAGCTATATTCCCTAATGATGGAAGGTTTACCTTGTAAACGCTTCCGTGTCCTCCTTGGCCGATGCAAAATTTTGCATCAAACTCTTCTGTGGCATTTAAGATGTCCCTGTACAATGCCTTTCCATCTAACATGGATATTGAAAGCCAACCATCACCATCCCTTCTTTCAACGTCTCTAACTCTCCTTCTTTTATTACACATAAAGAGAACACCAATGAAAACACATAGCAGTAGTAGTACTCCCATAACAGGAAGTACAGTGATGAGGATGACTTGCGCCATTGAGTGCTTGTTCACCACAGGAGATGGTCTTTCACAGGGCTGGAGTCCTGATACATTGCCGCAAAGACTTTTGTTACCTTCTAATGAAGCATTCATAAAAGCTTTATTATTGGGGATTGGACCTTCCAACTCATTGTATGACAATACGACATCCTGCAAACCAGTCAAACTTTCAACTTCTTTAGGAATGCGCCCAGATAGGCCATTGTGGGAAAGGTTTAAGTTTACCAAGACCTTCAAATTGGCTAACTGAGGGGATATATCTCCAACCAGAAGATTATAGCTCAAATCAAGTACAATAAGCTGAGTTATCTTCCCTATCTCCATTGGAATATTTTGGCCAAATTTGTTGTTGCTCAGGTTCAACTGAAACAAGTGTATGTAATCTCTTATAAACGTTGGGATCGACCCATTCAACATATTTTTTGATAGATCAAGGGATTCTAACTTTGTCATTGATCCAAGTTCCATAGGAATATTGCCAGAAATCTGGTTGTTTTGCAGAAAAAGATTAACTAGAGAGGTCAATTTTCCAAGTTCCCTAGGGATCTTCCCAACCAAATGATTTGCTGAAAGATCTAGTCCTTGAAGACCTTTGAGATTTCCAATCTCTGGTGGTATGTGACCACTAATTCTATTTCTGGCTACTCGAAAATCAGTCAACTTCTTGCATTTCCCCCAGTTGCTACTGAGTTCACCATGAAAATCATTTTTGCTCAAATTAATAAATTGCAGCTCCGGATAGATACCAAAAGCTTCAGATAAATTTCCAGTAAAACTGTTGTTATCAAAGCGAACCCTTTTGAAACTCGAGCACTTGGACATGCTTCTTGGTATTGGCCCAGACAACTTGTTACTATTCACCGTGAAGTTCTCAAGTTTCCCACCTTGGCAAAGATGCTCAGGCAAATGACCTGAAAACTGATTTTCACTTATTATCAGCTCTTCCAAGTTATCTAAATATGCAAGTTCTTTTGGAATAGAACCAGAAAGTTTGTTGACACTCACATACAGAAATTGCAAGTTTCTCAAATTGCCAAAGGAAGCAGGAATTGGACCAGTAAGTTTGTTGGCATTGAGATACAAAAATTGCAAGCTTCTCAAATTGCCAAAAGAAGCAGGAATTGGACCAGTAAGTTGATTTTCGTATAAGGACAGACCATTGAGGTTCTTCAAATTACCCAACTCACTAGGTATGGGACCAGAAAGTTGGTTAGAAAAAAGGTATAGAAGTTTGAGCTCAGTTAAGTCACCTATAGTAATCGGAATTGAACCAGTAAGTTGACTTTTAGATAAATCTATCTTTGTGAGATTTATCAGATTCCCCAACACACCAGGAATTGGACCAGTAAAATGATTAGTGGATAAATCCAAATCAGTGAGGCTTTTCAAATTTCCCAACTCTCTAGGAATAAAACCAGAAAGTTGGTTAGAAAATAGGTATAGAATTTTGAGCTCAGTTAAGTTACCTATAGTAATCGGAATTGAACCAGTAAGTTGAGTTTTAGATAAATCTATCTCTGTGAGATTTATCAGATTCCCCAACTCACTAGGAATAGGACCAGTAAGATGATTAATTGATAAATCCAAAAAAGTGAGGCTTTTCAAATTTCCCAACTCTCTAGGAATAAAACTAGAAAGTTGATTAGAATAAAGGTACAAAGTTTTGAGCTCAGTTAAGTCACTTAGTGTTGTTGGAATTGGACCAGAAAGATTGTTTCTATCTAAGAGTAAAACCTCAAGTGACTTCATCTTCCCTATTTCAAAGGGAATGACATCATTTAAATGGTTGTCAAAGATGAAGAGGGTCTCAACCTTTGATAGTGAGCCGATTTGAGGTGGGATTTTGCCTTAAAAATGATTGATCGACAAGTCAAGATAGACAAGATTAGTGAGGTTTCCTATTGCATGAGGTATGATACCAAAGAGTTGATTCATGCTAAGATCAACATATTCAAGAAACGATAGAGATGAAAATGGAAAATCATGAAGTGTACCAACAACACCAGCATTTGTAATATTCAACTTGTTTACCCGACCATTAAAGCATATAACTCCATACCAATCCCTGCATGCATCACTACTTAATGTCCATGAAGTCAATAAGGAATTATTTTGGCTTAGGAAAGTAGCTTTCCATTTGAGGAGAGCAGTTGCTTCCTCAATGGAAGCAAAAGAAACTGTGAAGAGAGTGAAAAACTGTAGGAAATAAAGTATTCTAATTGGAAACATCTTGAAAGCTAAAAGATTTCAGTTGTTTGTTTGGTTATTAATGAACTTGTTCAGGGTAGAGTTTTATACTATGTAGAGAATCATTAAAAGTTGTGGAAATATATTCAAAAGTCATTTCTTAATTGACAAGCTACTGGACATGCAATACGAAGAAATTACACAATTTTTAATTCAAATAGCCCGGTTTTTAATTTTTAACGTTTAGCGATCGAACTTATTGCATAAGTTATTAAGATTCAAGTCGGATTTTGCGTTGCTCCAGTAAGCTTAACTATAGTATTTTTCAATGCACATCTAGATGACTGACACATGAAGTTATAAACATGAATGATTGAGATTGTTTTTCAACTAATTGTCTAATTTTTTATTGTATTATTTTATTAAAAGTAAAATTGCGCCAATTTGCAAGTTACCTTTATTAGTTGGAAAGAAACAGCCGCCTCTCCTTTTTACATTACGTGCCCATCAAAATATCAAACATTACACTATGTGAACATGGACTAAACTTTATTATCCCATGTGAATCATTTATAAGTTTATGTCAATAAGAAAATCCACAATGTGTACATGGACTAAATTTATTATCCCATGTGAAACACTAATAAGTTTATGACAATAAAATAATTAATTTACAAGCCCCTACACCATTAAAAAAAATAGAATCAAATTAAATTCAATATTAATCCTTCAAGAATCATATTAATGATTTACGAATATTTCAGATTTGTAGATCATGTCTAAACATCAGTATCACTATTTAGACAAAATAAATTTTATGTACATAAATTATTGTATTTATGATAAATATTTCACACAACTCCAGTATATTTAAAACCGTTTTTACATAATTTTATCAACAATTATATATTTGGTGCTTTACAAATTATTTTAGAATATCTAAAGATAAGTAAAAGATATGCTAAATTAAGAAGAAGTAACCACCTCCTAAACTAGAGACGTGGGGCGTAAGTCCTATAGATCTTTAAATTTGTAATTTACAATATAGTACAATAATAAAATAACACAAAATTATAAAAATACATCAATAGTTTGAAATAATTACAAACATGATTAAAGAAACTCATAGAAAATAAAGCTTCTAACATGATTATACAAGTATAAATAATCTAATATCTTAACTTTCTAATAATAAAAGAACCATTATTTCTAAAAATATTTTTTTATCATACTATACAATTTAACCCCCCCCCCCCCCCCCAAAAAAAAAAAAAAAAAAAAAAA